ACAAGTCAAGTCCAAGTGAAAGCAGGATTATATTTATTGCAGTAAATCAAAATAATGCATCATTTTATTCTCTATCAACAGTCAAAACCAAAGTAAAATCCTTAACAACTTCAACAAATACATTTCTGCAATTACTAACTAACTCAACTCAACCAACTCCAACTCACTCCAAAACTCCTCAAAAACTCCTCAAAAACTCCATAAAAACTCCAAAACTCCATAAAAACTCCAAATCTAAACCAGCCAGAAAAGTTCCCAGCTTATATACCCTTCTGTTTGCGCAGCTAGGGTGGTGTGCAAAAGTAGACTGTTGCGCGACCTCTTATTGCGCGACCTCTCCAGTTTTGCACACAACTCATTGCGCGACCTGAATGTTGCGCGACCTTTTAAAAATGCTGACAATGCCTTAACAATGTTCAAAAATGGCCTGCAACTGGTTCAGGTATACAGACTGTTGTACAATACAAACATTAGTACAAAAATACATAATAGTTATATAAATTTACATGTTTGAACACTCAATATAATAATAATTATCTGTCCAATAATGCATCTTAATAGTGCAAAATTATACTTGCAGTAATAAAGATATATGTACTATATATGGCTTATAAGACCAATACATTTACTACTGATTGACATTTCTATAAACTTATAATACTGACTGATAATTCATTAAACAACAGAAATATAATCTCTCCAGCTTTACAACCATACAGCTCAACATTTGAACAAAGTAACCTGTACATAGATAAAGCTGTGAGTAAGGAATCCCATTCATAAAATCTGATATGACCAAATTATGCTTTGTTAACAACAATTGAGATGCTGAAGGGCTAAAAATAACTTAAACCTTGTACTTTTAGACTGCGCGACCTCTTATTGCGCGACCTCTCCATATTTGGAACTAGCATGCCTGGGAAAGCTGATTCTGCGCGACCTTTCCTATTGCGCGACCTTAAGTGTCGCGCGACCTTTGTCTGCGCGACCTTTCCAAATTTGGAATGAGGTATGCTCATAATCTAAAAATAACTGAGCTGTGCCAATATTCTGGACTGTTAATGACTCAATTGTTTTACAACAAAAATGAGTAAAAGTTAACATAAACATTTTAACCAGCTTAGAAATATTGTCCAGATTTACCATCCTAAAAGAATACTCTTCTAGTAAAAGACTAGTTTCAAATTTCATAACAATATCTTTGCTTTGTTTAAGTGGCAGCCATCTTGAATTATTAGATATTTATTTTTGTTGATATAGATTAAAACAGGGCTTGCTACTATTCAGATTTATTAGTTTAACAGCACAGACTCATTAAGGCTATTTTTCATACTTTCATATATATCAGTTTAAACAACCTTCAACTGGTTTAAATCTTTTATTCACTAGTTTATTTTTATTCTCATATTTTTGGTTAATTACAAACAGTTTATATTAAAGTACACTTTGTCAACTTGTTTAGTTTTAAGTAACTTCTAGTTTAGTGTAAATAAAAACTTAGTTTATTAAAAATTTGGTTGATTTAAATTTATTCAACATTTGTGTTTTATTTCCCTTTGCATTAAAAGGGTGGTGTCATCCTGACGATTAGATTTTTCCCTATTAAAGAGTACTCCTGAGCAAACTAAGAACATTAGGTAATAAGTAACTAAATTCTATTAATAGAAATCAAAAAGGTTTTAATTTTCAACACCACAACAATGGTGCCAAGTGAGATAGAGGCCTGCTTCTATTTTTAGAACCACTTATTAACAATATATTTTATCATCACCACAACACATCAAATAAATAAGTTTTTGTGTTTCGTCAAATAAATATGTACATTTAACACATCTAATACTTTATTTTTTCATATTTTGTATACCTAAGACATATGTCAAACTACAAGTGTCGTATAACAATAGAAGGAAGCTGGGAAAATAGGATTTAGCTACTTTGATTGAGTGCTACTTTGATTCAGTGCTTCTTTCACGAATTCGGCGTTACGTCGTAAAAATGGTCTCAATTACGTTTAATCTGCTAAATTAAGTGTAATATGACACGAGTAGATTAAAAATGTCTCAGGTACACTGAATATAATAGATCATAAAGTTATATGTAAGTTATTGTATTTGAAGATATCAACGAAACTAAAAATCGCCATCAATACGCTAGTCAGGTCGTCATTTTCACGAATGATCTTGTAAAATAAACATTATCATGGAAATATTTTGGATGAGGTTTAAAGTATAATGTCTCAGCAACCGTATGTGCTAACTCATTTCTTCCATTTTGGTGTACAATAAAAAAATATTAGTTCATTAACTTATCGCGGTGCTCGTTTTAGCCACTAAATTGCACAATTACTGCGTTATTTGCACATTCCTGCGTTACGGATATACACAGTGTATATGTTATACCTGCGTCGTTCCCTAATTTCCCATTATAAATCAAGAGGTTTATTTTCCTACTATCTATCGGGTATAATAGTATTACTGTTACTCATATCACACTTTTCAATCGAATATAACTGTTAAAATGGTCCATTTCTTCTAAAATGTCTGACCTATTACCGCATCTTGCATTCAGGTCACCTAAAACCGCTATTTTACAGCATTGAGAATATTTTCGGACACCTATTTCAAGTGCTTCGAAAAAGCCAATATCATGCATATTAAAATAAATAGATGTGGTATATACATAAAGCAGAGAAATACACCAACATCATTATGGAAAAAGACTTTAATTAATTTAACCCATATTTTGCCGTTACTGTCAGTCTCAACAATTTTGATTCCATCCTTCACAGCATAAATTGAGGTTTTTGGCAAGAGACTTCTTGTAATGTATATGAACCAGGTCACCGGGTTAGATGTCACGGTCACCTGAGATGATGCAATGTCCAAGACTTTGCCTTTGGTATAGCGCACATATCTCACATGTGTATACATCTTTCTTCTTGATCTGAAGCTTGTAGGTTCAGGTTTGAATTAAGACGAGAGGGCGTGGACATGTCTTGTTGAGTGATTGTCCTATTAATAGGCTTGACAAAAGAATAACTTGATAAGTTTAATTGACTGTAAGTTTTTTAGTTGGGACGTAGTCCCAACTAGTGTGCTTACAAACCCGAAATTTCCAACCATACAGGGTAGCGCCCACTGCAGTGACGTTTCATCACCACTATACATGCTTTATTGTATTCCTACATTTTTCAAGGAAGTTAAATTCATAGTGATCATCCGACACATAACCGCCGAAAGTGAAAAGTAGTGCCCTGTATTTCTGAAAACTTTGATTTATTGCGAATGGAAGAGGAGATAAGATTTTTTTTTTTAAATCATGTGCAATTTAGCTTGAATTACGGATATAATTAAAAATGGTCGAGTAATTCTATAAATGGAGATAGTAATTGGTTCATAGTAATTCTATGAATGGAGATAAGCGATTGACGACTCGCAGTATTCAACTTAATCATCCGTACCTTATCATCACATTTTTTGTATGATATTCCAGAAATTTTTGAAAAAGACAATTTTTATCGAATAAATTTTGTAGTATATAATTGCAAAGTGAATATTGAAATAGAAATAGCCAGAGATTTAGATAATCTAAAACCTAAAACTTTCGTTAATAATTTCGAAGTAATTTGAGAGATCTCGAGTCTTTCGTCCTCAAGACATTTCGACCCTACTGTAGCCTAGTCTCAATTTTTGGACTGCAAAACCGACAGATTTTACAAATTGATGTTACACAGATGTCTGCCTTTACAGATAAATCCGGCATATACGCCTACAATTTGTTGGTCTTGTCACGGCCGTAACGTCTCTACCAAATGGGGCACATTCTTAAATATTTCAGAATAATTTTATTTTTATCTTAGTTTTTCAATGAATAAAGGGATTCTATGAAAGATAAGAAAAAAAAATGATTTAACCCTCAATATGAGCCATTTAGCTTTTAAGTTTAGCCCCTGCAAATACTGCAGGTCTTGTGTAATTGAGACATTAGAGGTAGAAGCACTGTCCTATTATTTCTGACTAAACTCTTATTGATTGCTAATTGATTCTTCATACCCACAAATGACAAACGAGCATTATTGTCATTTTTTATTTTACCCTCACCACCTAGTGTTTCCCCTTTTTACAGCCGAATAAAGGCTGTTTAACCTAGCCCAAAATAGGTATATTTTCCCCTGAAAATGCTAATATTTTCCCCTAAAACCCCTGTGCACATTCTTCACCAGAACGATGACTTAACATCAGCTGGCTTATATCAGCTAGAAGACAGAAAGCTGTCCCTATAGATAGCCTCTGCTATTACCATGCATGTTAAAGGAACTCCACTGAGGTTTAAAAGCCTAAACACATAACATTTGATTTTTTTACATAAATGAGCTTTTAACAGAAATATATGCAAAGATAGTTAAGAAATATACTTTGAAATAAATTGAACGTATTTTTATGCTTTTTTAGCCCGATTTGACTGAAAAGCGTTTAAACGCTTTTCATTTTGGGCCATTTTTTTACAATTTGAATAATTATTCTGGAAAAATGAAGTGCGCGAATGATCTGAAAGTTTGCACAAAGATTAGTGGTCTAAACTTACATCAAATGGTACATTTATCTGGAAAAAATGTATTCTGTCCCAAAATACCTCAGTGGAATCCCTTTAAATTGAATTAGAATTGAAATTTTTTTTTAAATGTATGGGTGAATTCCATTCTCAGTGGTTGAAATTTTATTTTCCCCTTTACTGATTTATCAAGCTATATTTTCCCCTTCAGAAAGCCACAGGTTGTTTTGAAAATTGAAAAAAAAATCACTGCCACCATGATAATTGTTAACCTGAAAAATCTTCAGGCACTGAAAGGGATTTGAACCCCAGACCTCTTGATTACAAGGCAGACACACAACCATGTTGCGAAAATGTCAACACAACAGCAAGGCTGTTGGAAATGATCTATACCTGTTCTCACTACATGGTTGAAGTAATTTAATCAGTGTAAATTAGACATTTAACAATTTTTGATAATACTGATATTCACATTTTATTCACAAATATACATGTAATAAATAAATATCATAATAAAATGATAAGAACATTTTCTATTTTAGTGGTAATATTGTGGAGTAATATGAAGAAATTTTATTGTAATAAATTTTCAAATTTTATGTCATTACATGCTGTCCACAATCATATTATGGTGTACACATATATATACATTGTATATACACACACTAAGAGAGTAGTATTAGATAATTTTGAAGATGAAATCTCTAAATTGATATTTTCAGGGAAATAAAAGATCATTAATTTTACTCCAATATTCACTTGGAAATGTTGGTATATGTAGCTAGACTAAAGAAAGGCAAGAAGATTATCACAAACAACAGGTACTTGTATAATGTTTGATGTATATTTCACAAATTAAACTGTTTTCCAAAAACTATTCATGAAAACATATGCCTTTTCACCAGTGTCACCACAGGCCAGATTACCAGACCCATTCCCAGTGGCAAATAATGCCAAATATGCTTATTTTTTCCATGTTAAGAAAAAAATCATAATCTAGTCAAAATTCCCGTTATCAAAGCTGACAATTTTTTTTATTCCATTTCAATCCAATATGGTACCAGACAGATGATGTTCAAAAACACATTTCATTGTCAATTTTTTATGCATTTTTTATGCTTTGAATAATATACAATTTGTTGGATTAACAACTTTGTACATGGTACTGAATATTTTTCCCAATAAAGATGCAAAATTTCCTAACCTGTGCTAGGAAATTTTTCCGAAAATGTCTAGGAAAAGGCTTGAAACTGAAATTGTTTAATTTGCATTTCTAATCTACATACTGAAATAGTCCAAGACTTGTTCATATATACTACCGCCTAAAATAAGTCAGTGCATGCTCACCCTTTATTATAGTGTTAGTTAAGAACATACTTTAAATATTTCTGTCATTAAGATACTGCCTATGACAGTCTTTTTCCTTTGCTGAAAATAATCACTTACATGAAATATCATAGTATGGTATTTTAAGGTGGTACAAATCAATCCTACAGGGCATTACAAGTAACTGCAAAATTTACAATACAGTTTTTTTTTGCCTTGAACAAGACCTCAATATGTATGCAAAATTTACAATACAGTTCATCCTTGTTTACATTTTGATTATTCAAGATTGAAACAAATGAAAATATTTAATAGCAAAGCACAGCTGGGAAGTGATTGTTTCTCCACCAAATGATTTAAATATGTATAAAAATGTTTCCCACCCTTTGATTGACCATTTTTTCTGCTTAGTGTGCCTCAATTGCTAAGATCTGCTTAACTGACAGTCTGTTTTTATAGTTTGAAGGGATAATCTTTGAAACATTCATATTGGTTATTAAACTGATCATTATTTACATTTATTTGTAGCCAATAAATAATTATACCTTTAAATTGTATGCCGTCTAAACAAATAAATTGTATACTGTCTGAACATATGTGACAGAAAAAATATCACAAAAAGGGAATTTAGTGATACTATAAGTATTTATTAACCCTTTACCTCATATATATGCAAAACAACGCATTTTTGACCCCCCCCCCCCTCTTTAGGTCTCAAATATTGAAAAAATGTCCTGTTTTGGCCCCAAACACAAGTTTTGGTTTGAGAAATGTTGATAAAAAAGTGACCACTTTTTCGGCGCGACTCCCCAACCAAAAGATACATCAGGGGGTTGCCAGAAGGGGGATGTGCCCCCTTCTGTTTGGGGGGTTTGAATGGGGCGGTCCCCTCATCGCCAAGAAAATTTTGTACTTGTGAGAGGCTAAAAATGACCCCAGATCGATCATAACGTAACGTGTAACCAACGCTGAAAAGCATTTGACTCTATCTCAATCCATTGGGAAGTTGCAGCACTTTGAAATCAATTTTGATGGAAAAAATCAACGAAAAATAGTGATTTTTGGCAATTTTGAGATGTCCCCTCGTTGCCATGGTAACAGGAAATTTAAGCTTGAGCATGTTGTTACAAAGGCAATGGTCCAGTTAACATGTGTGCCAAGTTTGATTAGTATTGAAGCATTTTTCATAGTTTTATAGCAATTTGAACTTGTACCGGGAGACTTTTCAATGAAAACAGCCATATTTCACAAAATGCTCATGAAGTAATGGGTTAATGAAAAAAATAAAAAATTCTACAAAACAACAATTTTTCCTCAAATTTATATGTAAGGCAATGTTTAAACATGGAAAAACGCGATTTTGGGTAATTTCATGTATTTTCATCATTTTTTGTTAAAGAAATTGTATTTCAAATATATTTAAATAGTGTTATTGAAAGTCATTTTGTATGACAGACACACAAATCTAGTGCTCTGCATTATAAATGTAAGAAGAGACAAATAAGATAAGCATTTTTTGCAAATTATTGCACTTCATATAATTGTTATTGCATTATTTTAAGGTGGACATGTGTCACTGTCAAGCAAATGAAGATTAGCATAACAGTCTGCGGGAATCTCCAATCTCCAGATGTAGTGATCATAACTGTATAGGCACCATGAACACTTGGGACTAGTTTGACTATTTTAGAGGGGTAGTCTGAGTTAGCACTTCAGTTGAATCCCCTGTCAATAGTAAAGGGCCAGTCATGAACATTGTGTTGAAGGAAAATGTTAAATCTAGTTGTTTTGGCTTCAAACAAAACCATCACACTTACCCAGCAGTGATAAATTAAATCAATTGTGATATTTTGACTGAATTCCTTAAAAGTTTCCATGAATTGAAGCTCCTGGGACTTGTGTAACATATGACTGCACATTCCAAAATTTATTAAAATATTGTGTAATGTTTAGTAATGTTGTGTAAATATATTCAGAGCTAGCATACTTCATATCTTAGCTTGCCTGGTTTAATGAAAAGTAATAAACCTGAGAATTGAAACTAGAATAAATTGTTGTTATAAGTCCCCTTCTGTTTTCACCAAGAGGGAACTAAAGGCTGACCCCTTTCTGTATGTCAATAAAATCTGAATTCTGATATCACTCAAAAGGTACAAAAGCAAGGTTCATCATACTGGTATCTGATATAGAACCATATGGAGATTTAGCATGTTATTATAATTTATGCTCCCAAAAGGAGGGAGAGAATACAGTTGCTGTCTTAACCATCTGTCTGTATGGACTCAAGTAATATTATGGATTAATATCCATGTTCATTCCATACAGACTTGTACTTGTGGGGAAAAAGGTTGCTCAAGGGAGGAAAATATGTTTCTAATGGTGTTTTTGAGATTTTAGATGATTAAAGAAAAAAACCAACATTGTGAACTTAGGAAGACATCTGTCCTTCACACTCTTGTCCGGAATATGAATATAACTAGATACGTATTGAAGGGATTTTATGTAAACTTCACAAAGTGATAGAGACTTTTGAGAGGAAGTGCAGTGTTCAAGAAACATAACTCTACATTGCTTCATGTTTTGATTATCTCCCTTAAGTTAAAAATGCTTATTCCAAACTATCACTTAAACTACACCCAGTTGTACAGACTCGAATTTGCCAAAGTGTCAAAGAACCATAACTGCATTCCTTAGTTTTTTAATTATCTCCCTTTATAATACATGTACTTAATTATGCTTGTCCAGAGAAATACTGGAAAAGAGTTGATGGAATTTGATTAAAATTTTACACAGCGAAAACATTCAAGTGAAAGGAAGTGTATTTTCAAAGAACCATAATTTTTCCTAGCTTAATTTTACAATTATCATCTCTTATAATACATCAACATTTAAAATATTGGTTGTCTGGAGTAATCTTTTCAATGATATCTCACTCAAACTAAATACAGTTGTAGAGATTAGTGAGCAGAAGTGCTGTGTCAAATAACCAAAATTCTACATTACTTAATTTTTGAATTATCTCCGTTTATATTATTTCATGATACTTGTTCAGAGAGAGGATTAAAATATTGTAGGAATTTGATTGAAACTTCATACAGTGAAAGAGAATAGCATGAGAAGTGCAGTGAACAAAAGTCATCATAAGTTCTAATGACATGGCCACATTCATATAACGTGGTGCAAAAATATTGACCATTTGAGTGTTTTCTTGATACTGATACAGAAGATTTAATATATTTATATCACAATTGATTATTTTTTCATAGCTTTGTCTCCCTTTATTATGTCATGTGTTAAAAAAGTCGAGCTTGCACTTTCCTCTGGTAGCTCTTATTTCACTTGTTAGGGCCAATAACGGTTTGTGATGGACCTACACGTACATGTAACCTAAATATTATATTTGAACATGTGTTTCATAGAATGATTGTATCAACTACTGTTCATTTACTGAATTGTGCACTTGATATTTATCAACCGGCAACACCCTTCACTCATTGAATTATCTGCCCCCGAAATAGTAAAAAATGGTAATTTTGATCCTTCAAGTACGTCCCAACTGCAGTGCCTTCAGCACTTTGATTTTTATTGACCTGAAGACTATATGTATTATTTAAGAAGAAAATGCCTAACTGACAGCTATACTGTTGACAAGGCGGCACATCCGACCCGCGGAGTTCTTGTAAGCTATATAACTGGTTTAACCATATTTTTAATGACAAGAATCTAGGCGATAGTATTTTCACCAAACACGTTCTGGTTTATTTTAACAATCTGTATATATGTTAATACTTTAATTATTGTTAAAAAAAATAAATATGACCAAGCACAGTAATCATAAAATATTACAATCAGTACTGAAAAGCACTAAGTAATGTTAATAACTAAAGTACGATAACTTTTGTCTCATGCAGTGAAAAAAGCTTAATTCTTAGATTTGAAATATGTAAAATGATTTATCATTTAGACTTGGTTATCATTAAAAAAGCCTTCAGATGCTTTCACAAACTCCTTAAACTTATTTTCAACGTCTCTCTTGATTGTGTCGGTTCCAGCAGCAACAACCCGTAACTTTGAAACATTGTCACAAAATATCTTAATACCTTGTTGAATCTCCGTGGTAGACAAATCTGTTTTCATGATTTCCTTTTTCAGAATATCCTCATCTTGTAGAATAATTTTAACGTTACGTTCAACTTGAGGTGCATGCTCTAAGACGTTACGGATATGACGACATGCGTTGGAAAAATGATCTAATGGCCGGATAACAGTTTCTGGATTAACTTCGCATACTCGAGTTATTTCCTTGGTGTCATATGTTAGTTCTATGAAATTCTTTGACTTTCTGTCTAATCTGATAACCACTTCACCTGGTATAGTTCATAAGTAAACAAAACAATTAAAATCCTATATAAATAGCTACAAGACAACACAAACAACAACAACAACAACAAAGGTATTAGCAATTTAAAGGATGGAAATTACGCTTTAAGATTGAATAAGACACGACTAATAACTTTTTTGTGAAGTAAGGAAAAGATACTTGAAGTTTATTTTTATACTAAATACTCGTTATTAGTTAACATAGGGTTCTTTAAACAACAATGTTGTGCATACAAGTCTTTTTAAGAGATGATACTGGTCAAAAACACCAATTAATTTAGGAGTATCTAGCATACTAGTATGACATTTCTCGAATATTGAATTTACATTACCTGCTCTTTTCCTCAGTATCAATACGCATTCTGCTAGAACAGGTATTCCAGCAGTTTCCGCTATAAAATATTCCTTGAAGCGATTAGTCTCCATTTCAAGCGATCTAAAGTTATCTACAACTTCATTGTATAACTTTCCCAAGTCCTGGAATGAAAATGATATTAAAATTATACAGTTGTCTTGAATTATATTGGTTTATAAAAAAAGACTTAAATACGTTTGCGTTTAAATAACTTAATGCAGATTTTTACTTTTTAATGGAATTTTTCTCATTGGCTATTTCGCATAACGGCATAACATTTATTACAAGGGGATTAATTTGTAGAATTTGGTATTTTTCTGCTATTAAATATTGTAATTTATGTGCACTGTTAGCCTTTGTCAGTTGAATGATAACAGCCGTATAGTAAACTAGTACATTTTTTGCTCTAACATTTTGTTTGAAAGCCTATATACTAATAAGCAAACATGGAAAGTCAAAATATAGCGAGTTCAGAACAGTTCCTCACTACGCTTAAGAAACCCATTGCTGCATGGATGATAGTTTTTCAAAGTATATCACAATGGCAAAGAGGTCAGCAAATTTAACTGTGTGTGAGACTACAAAAAAGGTGGCCTAATGACAGGTCGCCCTGCTGATGTCATCAGCTAGGAGGTGATTGACCATGTTGAGAGACTTGTTGTTTGTGCCGTATGGAGGTTGTAAAAAGTCGCCCCGTACATTCAATCAGAGATGTTATATTTTCCGATCCTTAAATATCATTCAGCACGACATTATTGTTGTGTTTATGTAATTTTAGTTTTAAATATTTGGCATTTTCTAGTTGAGTGGACTTGAATAATGTTGAATCACCCTTATAATTTTAACTTTGTCTTTTGACGTCTTACTGTAATATGCAGGCTTCATAACCTCTGATCCCCTTTAAAAATTCCATTTTATTTAGTTCGACCCATTGTTTTCTCGTTTAGGGCAAACGCTTTCCTTTACTTGCTTTTTATGGAATGGCACTAACGCGTCGCATTTAAGGTTCCATGATAACTGCCATATGAACACATCTGCGGATGTTTCAAAATTCAATATTTACCAGTTCATGTTACCGTTTAAGCCGGTGCTAGGGGGCGTGGACGTTAGTTTGCACTTGTCAGTACCGCCCATGAACAGGCTATAAACCAAACCGGGTCTACAACAATTTCAATTTTGCCGTGTTGGGCTTTCTTAAGGGATTCTTATTTTTTTTTTATTTATGTGCTAAATGTCCAACGTGCTTTTCTGATGACAACATTTTATAAAAACGATTTACCAAATGAGCATGAAACTGTGTAAGACAATTTAATTGTGTATACCGGAAATTGAAATTAAATGACCATTATCAAGGCTTTGGTTGTTTGAAGGGAAAAATAGAAATTCTGTAGCTATTTCTTTTGAATACGTTTTACGCATGATTTTTCTTTTACGTGTGTTATAGCTATGGTAAAATATATGTTTACAAATTCAGTGTTTCTTTGCCAGATTATAAATATCCAGTCCTCGGTATATATTCACCCAACGATTCGAGTCCAAAACAATTTCTCGAAATAATCATATGAAACTTCTTGTAGATCAGTTTAAGTATTAACAATAAATACATTAAACATTAAAAAAAGAGATATACATTTTTATTAAATAGGATGAAAGTTTTCCGGATGTATTCAGTATTTTCAAATTCTAAAAAAGTGGTGTAATAATTCTCATTATAACAATATAAAACTACCAAAGAAATGCTGATTTTTTTGAATTTCCAACATTTCATGAATGTTTGAAATATACATACAATCTAAGATGACTGACCTTCTCTTCTTGCAAATACAAAGAAAATCATACCGGTATATATAATTCTAACCTAAACACATTCACGGTGTCAAGGGTATACGCATCATTTTTCCGCGTACCGTCGATAATTTATCATCCTGCGCGCAGTACCGTATCATTTTAGACAAAACAAACACTTAAACACAACATGCATGATGGAAAACGACCTGATGATAAACGCAGGATGATAAATTATCGACGGTACGCGGAAAAATGATGCGTATACCATTGACACCGAGACATCAATTGTAGCCTGAGCCGTACAAAAGACTAGTAGATGTTTTCTTGGACTAGTGAAAATCCCCGATTTGCCTTGCGACAAATGCTTTGTTACTGTCCGTACAGTTCAGCCACTGGTCCATTGTTAGAGGGTATCGTGATCAACCATTTAGATTTTATTAGTTTTATGATAATGTACTTGACAGTCAATTTGTTTGTACTGCCCGCTAATGCAAAGAGAAAGGCAGTGGATAGCAGGTCAAATGCACCAGGATTATACATGTACATTTTGCTGACTCCACACTGAGACCAGACAGTTCAGGGCTTTTTGTCTGGGAATCAAAATGGCTGAGATATGTTCAAATTCCAGAGTCTAACTTTTCTTATAAATGAATATTAGAATTTCAGTCCTCAGAAAGGAGCCTTTAAAAGTCTTGAAAAAGGATAATTCATCGGAAGCATTAATCACAACAAAATTACATAAATATTGCAGACTCGGTTTGAATGAGTCGGTACATGAAGGATAATGAAGAAAAAGTGCAACATCCTTCAGGCCCCTAGCACCGGCTTGAGTGTCACTCAATTTACAACACTTAAAAATGCTGGAAACAATGATCCCGAAGGTGATCTCTCGGAGGCATTAATCACAACAAATTTACATGAAATTTGCAGACTAAGTTTGACTGAGTCTGACTAAAACGCCTTTACCAGGGGATAGAAAACCGAAATGTCATATTCTTTGCTATTCCCTTTGAAAATAAATAGGTTTTCAATTTAGTATTTAGATATAAGAGTAAGATACAAAATATCACTGGTGGCCATTAAAGTGTATAGAATCATAATGTTTCGAGACATTAAAATGTGTTTAACATTTACGGCACTTAATAAACTGCATCATACATAGAATTTCGAACATTTTTTTTTATAAATTGCGACATCTAGGCCATACGGCTATTTAGTGGTAGACCTGATATCGACCACTTTGGAAAAAGATCGTTTACGTAATGACATTTTTGAGGTGAACAGTCAAGAAAATATGTTAAGAAAACAAATAAATATGGATAAAATTCTGAAAAACCAATTACATGGTAAAGGGTACTTGTCCGATACTGGTGACGATGAGTCTAATGATGATGATGATAATGATGATGATAAACATCATTATAATGATGAAATGGACTTAGCGAGAAGCAATATGAGCATTAAGAGAAAATCTTTCTTTAAGGGGCCTCCTGGTAAGCGTCTAAATGAAGAGCTCGGGGAAGAACACAGATGCCGCGACGTCTGGAATAGAAGATTTCTGAAGCCTTTAAGCCAGTCTCGTATAGAACAATTTAAAGAAAGACTAAACAATTACTCGGATTAAGACTACTCTTTTAACTCAGCTTATGCCCAGACTGCTAATGACGAGTTGCCGTATCTGAGGAAAAAATTAAGAAATAATTATGCCGAGTTTCTAATTGACTATTACATATTGCAGGAGGACCTTACTCAGCAACAAATCCTTCAGTCGGCCAAAAAACTTAGAAGTCACGACGACATGAATATCACAGAGTCTATTCGACAAGCGATTAAACTTAGAAAATACTTGTTTAAGATTTTTTGGCCAAATAATAAAATCGATGATGTTAATAATGATGACCATAGAAATGATCATTTAAGTGAAAATCAGAAATCTGATGAGGAATAAAACAACTTAAGAAAGACTATTAAACATATCATTTCAAAACACAAAATGGGATCCATAAAGGTGTACGATCATAAGCAGCAAAAATGGGTGCCTTACATACCGGACCCAGAGAAATGGTATCAACATTTTAAAGATTTAAGAAACGGTTACGTAACGCCCGATCATAGGGGTCGTTACCTTGGCGAAAGCGGTAATTCGCGCAAACGACTCGGTACATTAGAAGCAAACCTCAAAGAAGCGGAGGAAAAGCTCATAGAAACGGAAGAAAAGCTCCGATGAGCACAACGTCCTATAGTCAATATGGTTAGTCCCGTAACACAGGCAACTGAAATTGCAAAGACTGAGGTTAAACGATTACAATATTCCAATACACAGGTACCGATCCGTAAAAAGCGTAAGATTGACTGGAATCACCTGATGTTCTAAATATGAACAATTATCAGTTACAATATATATTACAAAAATACCCGGTGACAGTGTGAGCTGCGGACCAATTACGCGTTAAAAAGGGTCATTTCGTGATTTCGAACACAGAGACGAGTGATGGACCAGGAAAACATTGGGTGGTATTCTATTTTCCTAAGCACGGGCCTTACGAATCTTTTGATTCACTTTGAAATAGCCATGAAAGTTATGGCGTTGGCTTTGAGAAGATACTTAAGAAGGAATATCTCATGTACAACGGACGACTTCAGAGTTTTTCATCAAAAGTGTGTGGGCTCTACTGCGCATACTACGTCATAAAACGATATCAGGGACAAAGTATGAAAAGCATTATCAAAGAATTTAATCCACGTCAGAAGAGGCACAATGATCGCTTAATAGTAAATAAAATGACTAAAAAATAATCAATAAACAATAATCATGACTAGATTGACAAAACGAGTGTATTTTCAGTCATAATTATCATAAACCATTGTGACAGTATCGTATAAAATATGAATAAACATGCTTTTGCTTCGTTAATAAAAATAAAAATTAACATTTCTTTTGTTTTTATTTATTGTATTTATTCCGTTTATTCTTATTCTGTAAAATGCAACATCAAAAATATATTTGAAAATGATCAAAACTATTGTCCAACAACATTGACCTGGCACTCTTGCATTTGACCCTGTAGTCGGTATATTCCGTCAACGTTCCGATCTAAGTGCAAATCGATATGAATGTAAATATCCAATTGTTAAAATGGCATAAATTAAAAATTCCTCTTAGCGCAGTTGGTAAAGGGGTTTCTCTTGAAGAATGTACACGTAAACTGGTAGGTTCGAATCCTATATTTCAGCAACTGATTTTTTTCTATTTTGTTTTAGTTTTAACATTGCAATTCTCTTAAAACTATTGCAAACCTTTTATTTGCGTGTACTCTTAGCGCAGTTGGTAAAGGGGTTTCTCTTGAAGAATGTACACGTAAACTGGTAGGTTCGAATCCTATATTTCAGCAACTGATTTTTTTCTATTTTGTTTTAGTTTTAACATTGCCATTCTCTTAAAACTATTGAAAACCTTTTATTTGCGTGTACTATCATTGTAGTATTTTAATAACAGCCTTTATAGCTGGTATGCGCTTAAGCATAACGGTTGCATAATGTCACAATGAGAACCGTTGAAAGATACTGTAATGAAATAAAAAATATAAGTGTGTATAAAAATGCCATTTAAAAGTTATTCTAAAACCATGTGAAGCAGTACAATTTCAAATAAATTCTTGCAAGTAAATTTAAAAGAGAAAAAAATATATCGCTGTGTTGATAAGGAATCAAACCAGAGACCTTCAGATCGGTAGTCTGTCATCTATACATATACACCACACGAGTATAGTTAGCAAATATATCGATATATTCGACAGATACCGACCACTGTTTATTCAAATGACCTTTACGAAAGTTAATGAAGTGCCAGGCCAATGTTGTTGGACAATACATATTCTTCAGATTGGACATAATTATAATGATAAAGTTTATATTATTTAATATTCAAAATATTATATATTTATGCATTTATTAAAGTCTCATCAATATACACATATATTTTAAGTATTTCTTAAAATGCTGCAGTAATAAAACTCTTTTTCTCTCATTAAGCAATTAAATGCAATTATCAATAGTTTAAATTGACTTATTCCTCTAAACTTTGGATAAGTTTACAATACCCCATTCAAAAATATAAGATCCCTTTTATTTCTAATGCGAATTTAATACAATAATCTGGCTTAAATTACAATTAGTGTCCCCCCCCCCTTTTTGTTAATCTTTACCGTCATTTTCTGCGCACTCCCTGATATTATAATACAATTCAATACAATTTCAAGTAGTTGGATATTAAACGCAATTATTATCAATAGTTTAAATCGACTTATTCCTCAAATTACAATACCCCATTCAAATATATTAAATCCCGTTTATTATATTGCACATATTATACTATAATCTGACTAACACATTTTGTTTATGTTATTTTTAATAAAAATATGATGCTCAAAATAAGATTGACCAATATTGTAATTTCCAAAAAGCATTATTTCTAAAGATATTACCGAATTTAATATTTCATGTAAATAAAGGGAGGTAATTAGAAATTTGTTTTCTATAAATTGTAAATCGAATTATCCAATAAGAAATGAATGCATACTCGTATAAATTAATGATTACATTTAATCTGTTCAAATATTTGCAGTACATATTTTACATATTCTTCGATGTTTGAAAGTTGTTGTATTAGCATAATTATATACATATGTAAGTTCCCGTAAGTGTGGTATACAACTTCAATTACAAAACATACAGGATCTTTAAATGACAATTAGCGTATCCACTTCCTTAATTTCTAGCACTCTCTGGTGTTATTATACGGGCGTTATACGATTAATGATAACGTTAATATTTAAATATTATATTGCTGAATTTGTGGCGCAAAAACGGTCGAATATTACTCTTTTCTTCATTTATTTATATGAAAATTAAGTTTATGTAGCATCGAATTAATCTACTTAAATCAAGTCATTACCAAATTTTAAACCAATACTTTAAATTACCAGACAATAAAACGGAATAAAACGGAATTTAATGACTACAACATTTTTACTGAATTTAGAAAATGTATTCATCATTCATGCTATAAATCTATCAGTAACAGATTTAGATTTAGATTCTTTTAGACGATGTAAATCGTTATTAGTCCCCTACCGGTTTAACCGGAGGGGACTTTAGGTTTACCCTCCGTCCGTCTGTCCGTCTGTCTGTCAGTCCGTCCGTCCGTCCGCAAAACTGGATCCCGCGATACGCAAAAAGTACTTAAAATATTTTTATGAAACTTGATATATGGATAAATGTCAGTATGGAGATTATGCACGTCTTTTTCTTTTCTTCCTATGTTGAAAATTCTGGTTGCTATGGCAACAAAAAGACTGAAAATATGGCAAATTTTACACATAAACTGAATCCAGTGATAACTCAAAAAGTACTAGAAATATTTTTATGAAACTTGACATATGAGTAGATGGCAGTCTGGAGATTATGCATGTCTTATCTTTTCTTCCTATTTTGAAAAAATTGTTGCCATGGCAACAAATATGCTTAAAACATGGCAAATATAACAATATTTGTGATTAGTCAAAAAGTGCTGAAAATGTTTATGAAATTGCATCTTTATTTCAAGAGTAATCTCCTGTTTAAGAATTTTGCTTTTAAAAATGTTGTATTTTGGTTACAGGGATGTTTCAAATATTAACTTTAGAGTGTCCCTCAGTCCGTCTGGTTGTCTGTTCATAAAAACTGTTTCCTGTGATCTCTTTTAAAGAACTTTTCCAACAAATTTTCTTAAAATAGACAAAAATTGAAACATTAGTGAATGGCCAATGGCCCTTCAGAATGTTGCTGGGGTTCTTACCGGTAGGGGACTTATGGATTGCTTGCAATACTATGATAATTGCTTGTTTTATTCGAATTTGACATAATTATTACGGGTTTTCATATAAATTTACCAGTACAAAAATTCTATTTTATTTTTTCCAAAAGCAATCATTATCTATACTTTTTAATCAATATTCCTAAATAAGCCCCCTTTTTCATTATTATAATGCACGTTTAATATAAATAATCTAACTAACAATACACCTTTGTTTGTATTCTTATCCCTTTTGTTATAAAACGCGTCTAATAAGATTAATTATATATTACACACTACTTGATTATGTATCTAACCAACAATAGATTGCGTAATGCCATTCAAACTATTCTCCATAATAATCTCGCGCATGCGCACTAAGTTGGACCAAAGTGTCCCATGTACTACTACCAGACGACCATCTACCCATATATTAAGTTTCATAGAAATAGTTTCAGTACTTTTTGCCATAGTTTCTGTCTATTTGTTGCCATAACAACCATTTTTAACATAGGAAGATAAAAATACGCCGTGCATAATCTCCTGCCTGTCATCTATCCATATTTCAAGTTTCATGAAAATATACTTAAGGACAAAGAAAACGCACGGTCGGGATAATTGCATTTTAACAAGGAAAATATATTTCTTTTAAATATTTTTTCACAGTTTCATAAAACCGAATGCATCTCGGTCATTTAGATACCAAAGTTATGAAAAATGATTGCATTTTAATGATGTTATTGCATGATAAAGACAGTACCCGAAAAATCAAAAGTAACACTTTTGGCTAATTGTGATAAGATCACAACAGATAACAGATTTAATCAATTCATGGTAACTTTATGAAATAAATTTTTTTAACTGTTAAATATTAACCTGTTTTTCACACCTTTCTAGAAATGTTTGACACAAATTAGCAATTAAAATTTTAATGAAAATGAATATTACACTATGCCAATGGTAAGTTTTAGAAATCGTTAAAGCTCACATTGAAAATGCATATACACACTTTTCCTCTATAAAAGGTGCTTAATTTCAAACAATACTGAAGATTTGCTAGCAAACTGTATGCAATGGTTCTACAAAGAATTAACCGCTGGGTAGATTTAGGACAGATTCAGTCTGGTCTATCTTACAATCAAATTTTGTATTATCAAAGCGCAAACCGTTTTGCTGTCCATCGGTCTACAATTTCTCGGCTTCAGCACAACACTACAGGCCGAATGGCGTCAGATTCCACAGGCGACTATCCGCACCGTAAGGTCTATGAGGCGACGATGTACATCTGTAAGAGACGCTGATGGAGGATATTGTCGTTTCTAAAGATCCCGACGGTGACATTACGAATAGACATTTATGAGTGACTTTGTTTTGGATTTTCATTTTGGTTTTTGCCTTTGTTACGTTTGCATTACTGTGATGAAAAAGTGTGATTTTGGGATTTTCACCAAAGGTTCTTCGATTTACTGGTGTACATTTGATTTTAAACATTTTGAATTATTTTTAGCTTTTAAGTTTGCTTTTTGTATTGAAGTTATGATATATATCTAATGGAGTCGTTAGTGTTTTGTTTTCATGTAATAAAATGCATATAATGCGGGCGTGCGTTTTCATTGTCCTTAAGTATATTTTCAGTACTTTTTGTGTTACGGGATCCAGTTTTGTGAACGGACTGACAGACAGACGGACATATGGTAAACCTTAAGTCTCCTACGCTTAAACTGGAAGGGATAATAAATACACACTGCCATTTTTAAAGCATATATGTCACAACGAAGAGCTCGATCTACCGCAAATACTGTGTAACTCGGATCAGTCAGATTGTCCGTGCACCGTTTCTATTCTTATCTGTAGCATTGTTATAAACATTATCAAACGTATTAAGTTTTCGTTAAAAATTTGCACTTGCAAGTCCTGAATGCGGTCAATTATAAAAAAACAACTGCCGGTAATCAGCCATGTAATTTTAAGACGCACGGTTTCGTTCAACATGAAATAAATAAAATTTCATAATGTGTTACATTTTCTGAAATTTCCATTTGAATTGTATGATAAATAAAAAAGAATGATCAAAGTTAAAAGAAGTGATTTAGAAGTTTTGTCTAGTATATTTACTGGGAAAGGGTATAAGACCGTGCTTCATTGTGATTGAATAGCCATCTTCGCAGGGAACATTTTTAGTTTTGAACATATTAAAGTAATACAAGTTCCTGACAGTGTATACGGGACTATTTAAATTAGCCTAATTTAGATTAAAATGACCCGAAGAGTCCTGTCACCAACAAGTAAAACTTACAGTATAAATGTAGACATATTTATATACATTTTACCTTGAGTGTTTTGTCAATTGTTACTAAAGGAACAGTCTGTAACTGAACGGCAGATATCAATTCAATTGAAGTTTCTGAAATACAGAAATTTACCAAACATATAAACTATTACATATGTTAGATATGTAGATACATGTATAGCTCAAATTATAACCGGTCAATGTGGTCAAACTGATTCTAAAAGATGTATTGATATATGTATAAATACTACTACATGTACTTCACGCTGCCTTTTTCACAATTTGGTGATAAATTAGATACCTCGATACTTCCGTTGAAGAGCCTTAAAGCTTAAAGAGCCTAAAACGTAAACACATTTTCTAAAAATATTCTTTTTTTGTTTTTTTGTTGTTATTTTTTAATGCCACCAATCTCTTACGCAGTTATCTCCCCTTATAAGTATAGAGAATACAGGATTGGAGCAGTACCTCTAGACGCTTGCAGAAATCATGATCACAAAATAGACAAATATCGTTTTTTTCGCCGATTTTTAAATTTTTCCTTCATTATCTTACTTAATTCGGTGTGAAAAGATGAATTAGACCTGTTAAAGTTCATTCCGTTGGGTAAAAAGACAAGATTTTAGCATTTTATCATTCAAGCGCCTTGTCCGGTATATACCGGAATACGGTATTTAGTGTGGTGCTCCAATCCTTTTTTTTAGTCTCACTCATAGAGATCTCTGCCATCAAACTTTTTTTATCAATATTTTATATTTTTCAGCTTTTGAATTTATTTTTCATTATTTTGTATACTTTTGATAATTTTTTGATAAACTATAACGAACGTAGGTACATAAAGTTAAAACATAAAACAGAAATAATAAAATGACGTTAGATTTTCTGTGTAACGGCCGATATTTACATTTGAATTTCGACGTTACGTCATGTGACTTTCATGTGACGTCTGTGAAGGCAGTGATTACAATTCTGCCAAGGGAGATAATCACTGTGAGGAGTTTGCTATGCCACATTTTACATGGTTTTGGATGCAATGCCGAGACCAAATACCCCGAAATGACGTTGCTAGAACTTTTACCAAATGTTTACTTGTATGTTTTCTTTTACGAAACATATCTTTTGTGGTTTCCCTACCGCGAAGTTAATTTCTTCCCATTTTATCCTGCATAGAGCATGATCCTAACACCCCCTTTCGCACAACACACACACACGCGCACAAGCACACACATACACACAAGCGCGTTAAACGACTTCTCAAAAATATTGTCAAGAAGCATGGAGTAAACCACGTGCAAAGACACTAAAATTTATGTCATGGCAATGTGAACAAATATTAAGAGGACATTTTTTCGTTTGAGTGAAATATATTTTCACGGAACATGATAAAATGCCACATATTTTCATGAGCCGGGACGGCGAGTGAAAATATGTGGCGTTTTATCATGTTGAGTGAAAATATATACCATATTTCACGAAAAACGAAAAACGAAAAAATAACCTTTTTATTTAAGTTCATTATCAAATCAAAGCACAAAAGGCGCTGAATTTGTTTGGGTCTCAGAATGCCAGAAAGGTGAAGGTTGTGAGATTATAAACCAATTTGTTTGCATAGTGTCATCAATGCTGTTTCCAGTGTTATAACTATAGAAAATTGGCTATAAGACTAATTGCAACCCTGCACTGATTCAATGACCACGGGGGGTCATAAGAGTACAGCCTGAAGAATACCATATTATTCTAAATTAGGGTTTGTAACCCTTATTAATTTCGATATATTTTGTTCACGGTAAACCTGTTGTTTAACACTGAAGTAATAATCATGGAATGAATATATAGAGGATATTTGTTTAGTTCAGTGTAAGATCGGAATATATTTCACCGAGTGAGCACCAAACGGTAAATTTGAACTTTTGGTGTTCACAAGGTGAAATATATTTCGATGTTACACTAAACTAAACAAATTTTCTTTTTATTATATGCAAAGAAACGTTTGAAAAAGACATTAAACCTAATACTGAATGAAAAGCGCGCCAAATAATGATACAACGTATTTCACTGAAACAACGTGAGGGGCTTAAATTCAAAACAGTGAAATTATCAAAGTGGTAATTTCACTGTTTCGAACAGTGAAATTACAAGTTTTATATCACTGATATATTTCTATAAACCACCGAAAAGCATGTAATAAAAGCATGTTTATCTATAAAGATAACACACTATTAGAAATCTTCGACCAATCGGGAACTATTTTTTCGTTACGAAAATTAATGCGCCTGTCATTTGACAATCTTTACGCAGTGATCTCCCCTTAAGTTATCGGCGTTAATGTACATATGAAGGAAGTAACCGCTCCGAGGAGTTTGGACTACTTTCGGTATTTGCAAATAAGAACATCAGGGTCTAAAATTTCGCTACCATTATTTGTTTAGTCTGACGACACAAACAAATAAAAATGGTTACGAACCTCCTTGCTTGCAAAGCAACTGCAATTATACAGCGCTCAGTAATATAATTATTGTCTTGTTTTGCACGCGATATCTAACGCTACATTGTGACGTCAAGTAAACAACTCTTTAAACGTCTGTACAGCGTTAATGACTGAATTAAAGATATTGGTGTTCGGATTTATTTTCTTAGACCATTTTCTATCATTCTACATAGTTTTCAAAACAAAATTTAAAAAAAGTTGTTTTGTATTTATCAGATTTTTCAAACAAAATGGCGAAAGAAGTCCCTTAAAATAAATATGAGTTTTGACTCCGCCCTCTTTCATATTTATATTTCATATTTATTTTTAAAAAATATGACATATATTTGACTGAAACAGCACCATATTTCATGGGTAAAATTAAATATACATATATATATATATATATATATATATATATATATATATATATATATATATATATATATATATATATATATATATATATATATATATATATATATATATATATATATATATATATATATATATATATATATTGCCTAGGTCTCCTGACGTCTTGAAATACGAAATAAAAAATACATTGCCATGATTCTACGTGGAAAGACTGCAACAATTAGTAGACATGTACATTGACTATTTCTGTATAAATTTCATGAAATACATACAGTAACAGAAACAAACACATACCAAATTCCTTGCGTTTAATCGGGTTGTGTCGTCTTGCCGACTGCGGGGATTGTTCGTAAACATTTGGAAGTGTGTGCGACAAAGTTCCGGTTCTGACACCAACTGTTCCGTTATTTAGAAGAGGCTTCTGTTCATCCTATCATGATAAAATGAAAACGTTTGATTTTTCCTTGAAAATTATCGTTCGTTGTCATGCATGTGTTATATCAGTAGAGGGACAATCATTGTTGGCATGACCCTTTTGTGTGTACACCTGATGCTTATACTTGTAATTATGTGAAATTGTATATTACTTTTATATTTAAACAATAAAATATCATTGAATAATCAATGAGTTTTAGGACATTGCCTCATGTAGTGTTTAAACGACAAGAAGATCTCTATGTGATCTCTGCATCTTAAGCTAAGTTTTTCAATGAAAATAACATACTAGTCATGTACACGCACTTTTTAAAGATCCTGTAACACATTTTTCATGGTTTTATATAGTACTTATGATGCTCAAATTAAGATTTGTCAATTTTGTAAGTTCCAAAAAGCATTATTTATAAAGATATTATCGAACTTAACATTTCATGTAAATAAAGGGAGGTATTTTCTATGAAGTCTAAGTCAAATTTTTCAATTAAAAATGAATGCATATATTTTAATGATCACCTATAACATGTACAAATATTTGCAGTACATATTTTACATAAAATTATTCTTTGATTTTTGAAAATTGTTTTATAAGCATAATTTCACTTAAGTGTGGTATACAACCTCAATTACAACATACAGGATCTATAACCCTATGATTTCCATCTATATTATGTCTCATTAGCTATCATCATTTCCAGATGTACGTATGTCAAGAGCGTCCCTTTTTCATTTGTCCGTCCCAATGAGTTAAGTCACAATAATTTCCTAAGACTCTCAACCATTTATTACATATGCATCATCAAGCAAATAATACACAATGCATTACAATTTGTGATTAATGGCTTGCGGCCACAGCTGCAAGCCATTTCTTTTGGAAAAGTTGTTCCGGTTAGGTGGTTATCTACAGTATATTTTGTGTAATGTCATGACATTTTCAATCAGTGTCTCAGACCATTCAATAAAATAATAACAGCAAACTCCGTATTTTAATAGGTATTGATTAGATTATCAGTTGTCTAAACAGTGGTGTCAAATAAAAAACAAAACTGAAGATGAAACCTTTTTTATCCAAAGTGTAAATGTAGAAGCTGGTGCTTTACGTGCGTACAAGGCTTCGTAATAAATTGCGATACAGTATACTTACTATTAGTGACATTGACCTTAGACTAACTTAACTAATGACGCCATTTATATAAAACAAGTACTATTATTATCAGTTTCAAGAGAATTAGATAAGCAAGATAAGCAAGATTTTGATTGGAAAATAATATAGCATTTTACTGAACCCAGTCTGAAAGATATTGATCCCTTTACAAAATAAAATGACTTAACATTATTACTCTTGGCCCGTGTTTTGTTAGAGGATTAACTGATATGAAAAGCTATGCATTTAGTATCACATGCAAGCGTTACTTCACCTTGATGAATATGAGCACCTGGACGTGTGAAAAAAGATAGTAGTCTTTAAACCTTTTTTGTTTTATGGGAGGGGGGCTTTTGTCCTACCTGTATTTTTGATTGGGGGGGGGGGGGCTTTTGTCATATTTTGTCATATGTGTAAATTTCATGGGGGGGGGGGGGGCTTTTGTCCTACCTATATTTATGATCGGGGTGGGGGGCTTTTGTCATATGTGTAAATTTCATTGTTGGGGGGGGGTTTGTCCTACCTGTATTTTTGATTGGGGAGGGGGCTTTTGTCATATATGTAAATTTCATTTGGGGGGGGGGGTTTGTCCACCATGTAATCTTTAGATGGGGGGGCTTTTGCCTCCACTTGAAGGTAATATGTGACGTTTTGGTATACATATAATTATCGCGTATACTGTACTCCATTTTTTGACAAGTAAAAATGTAATACAATGCAGTAAACACTAAAGAGTGCAGATAAAGTAATATTTCGTTTATTATATACGTATAGAGGAAATAGAGACATATAAAGTGAAAAAATAAAAACAAAAAACCCTCATTTTTGGAAGAAAAAAAATGAATATAGAACAGGTCAAGAATCAGGCGGTTATTAATCAAAATTTAATTAAGTAAATCAATTTAAGTGAAGAATGGTTAATCCTATGTTCACAATTATTATAATGTCCTCACCAGTCATGTTCTCCTTCATGTACACCTACTCAATAAATTGTTTACTCAAATCTTTGGGTATATATGAAGATATTATTTCGAAACAGAAAATACCTCACCTCGTTTCCGCAACAATTTCCCATCGTAAAAGTTTCTAAATCATCTCAATGTTTTTAAAGAGAGTTTAATAAATTTAAATCAATGTTATCCTGTTCAAATCTTGTTTATATTGAAGATACGAGGACTTTAACACTACTTCAGTATCTCATACAAACATGTAGATAATCATACAATACATAAATGTATAGTCACATGAGCACTGCCAGGCGCGGATTTCCACATATGGTATGTGGGCGGGCAAAACCCCGCAAACTCTCAAAAAACTTAAATTGAAACTGTTACCTAAATTAAAATTAAATTTAATTAACACTTAGATTGTAAATCAAAATTTATGAAGTTAAAGAACCTATTACTTTATTAGTGTGTTATAGAGAACTTTAAAAATCTCCTTGTTAAAAATCACTAGTAGAATTTCAACCAAACTTGGGTTGTTCCTTGGGTTAACGGCTTCCAAAGTTGTTCAAAGAATTTGATTCCAGTAAGAAATCTGGTTGCTTATGGCAACCAAAAAGAATTATAAGAAAAAAAAATTTCTTCTACAGACCAATTAGGTCTAGAGCATAGATAGTTTGCATAAAGCACAGTCTGTTGAATCTCTAACAAGATTGTTTAAATTATAGCCTGGGGTAAAAATTGGCCCCGCCCCAGAAGGTCATTGACATGGATAAATGTGTTTTATGCACAAAATCATTGAATTTTATTTAAGAAATTAAAGATAATTAAGAAGTGATATTTGCAAATAACAACGGCAAAGATTTTAATAAAACGGTCCTGTTAAAAAGATGTCTTAAGATAATTTAGAAAAATGTGTGTAGATGTATTTAATAGTTAGTCTTTTATCAAATTTGCTCATATTAATTTGATTGGCCCCTTTTAGGGGTCTCTAGACCTAAAAATAGAAAAACCTTTAGACATCTTCTTCTACAGAACTAATTGATGGATGATCACCAAACTTTGTCTGTAGCATTCTTAGGTAGTCTTTTATCAAATTTGCTCATATTAATTTGATTGGCCCCTTTTAGGGGTCAAGGAAGCTAAAAATAATATAAACCTTTAGACAGCTTTTTCTACAGAACTTATTGATGGATGATCACCAAACTTTATTATTAGCATTCTTATAGTAATTTTTTATAAAAATTGCTCATATTTATTTGATTGGCCCCTTTTAGGGGCTGCTAAAGCTAAAATGCCACAGACCATGGCATTTCTCAAATTATAGTTTAATGAAAGGGAAACAACTCATGTTGGAATGTCTTTCATTGCTGGCAAGAGAAATTATATTTATGAAATAACTTCTTTATTTGGTTTCATTCATATTTACTTAATTACATCACTACATTTCTATTTTTATTAATGTGGTTCTATGACACACTATGATAAAAAGAAGGCTAATATGAACAGATTTTGATATAGTATCAACTTTGTTCTTCTATGAAAAATAAATAAGAAATGCAGCATTTTCATAGGATGACAAATAAAGCTGGACACTTAATATGTTAGTATTTATCTGTTACAGTAAAAGTTCTACAGAAATTAGAAACATTCTCCTGTCACTATCATTGCCTTTCTGTAGAACTGCATGAAAGAACACTAACATATACATAATAATTAACAACACTCTGTCGCTAATGATGATTTTAAATGGTAAATGTTTTCAGAAATAGGTAATACTTAATTGAAAAGACAGTATACAGCTATGTTATACAGCATTGAATCAATAATTACACTATGTGCTTTGTATCTGAACAGAAAACATATCTGCACATTGTTTTTCATTTGACATGCTTAGATAAGACCCTGACCCCAAAACTCACTATGGCAAAATATATTTGTGGAACTATAATTTAGTGTTGTGTATGGAATCTTGTTTGCTAGGTAACAATAAAATAAAATCATCAAATAACATTTAGCTCTAGAATTCGGACTTCCATTGATTGCATCATTCTGTTCATCTTTCTGCAGGTTCATTTGTAGGTCAGTGTACTCAGTAGAGAATTTTCCCCACAGGAAATAAAATTAGGCCTAAAGAAAGAATTACATTCGTTTCCTGTAACTTACAAACAGAGATGCTCTATTTTTTTGTTGAATTTTGTTAAAAATTGTTTGTTTTTTTGTCAATTTTTGTTGAATTGGATTCAAACTTGGAGAAAGCACATTTCAATAAAATTTGCCTGATGTTTCATGTGCATAATTGAATTTTGGTATCAGTTGAGCTGTTATTTATATTTTTGAAAGATTTCACCTACTTTCTTGTTTTTTGATGTACAGACTTGAAATTTGGACCAGGAATGTAATTTCTGATGCAAATTGAATTAAGATAGTAACTGACTACTTTTAATGATATCGTTTGGCCTTATTTCTTGTTTTTTGATGTACCTACTTGAAATTTGGACAAGGGGTTTAATTTCTGATCCTGAATTGAATTTTTATACCCACTAGCCTGCTTTTGATATTTTTTAATATCGCACGACCTACTTTTTTTCTTCTTTTTTATGTACAGACTAGAAATTTAGACCATGGGTGTAATTTTCTAATGTCATATTGAATTATGATATCAGCTGACCAACTTTTGATATAATTGATATCAGTTGATCTACTTTCTTGCTTTTAGACATACAGACATGGAATTTGGACCAAGGGTTTAATTTCTGATGTCGAATCAAATTTTGATATAATCTGATATATTTTTGATATTTTACCTACATGTACTTCCTTGTTTTTGACATACAGACTAATGGTGTAATTTTTGATGTTGAATTGAATTTTTATATTAGCTGACCTATTTATGATATATTTGACCTATTTTCTTGTTTTTTTGACATAAAACTTTAAGTTTGGACCGGGGGTGTAATTTCTGATGTCGAATCAAAGTTTGATATAATCTGATCTATTTTTGATATTTTACCTACATGTACTTCCTTGTTTTTGACATACATACTTGAAATTTGGACTAAGGGTGTAATTTTTGATGTTGAATTGAATTTTTATATTAGCTGACCGATTTATGATATATTTGACCTATTTTCTTGTTTTTTTGACATAAAACTATAACTTTGGACCGGGGTTGTAATTTCTGATGCCGAATGGAATTTTGATATCAGCTTACCTACTTTTGATATTTTTGATATCGCTTGACCTACCTTTTTGTTTTGTGACATACAGATTTGAAATTTGGACCGGGGTGTAACTTCTGATGCGAAATTGAATTTTGATATTATTTTACTTACTTTTGATAGCATTTGACCTACTTTCTTATTTTTTGACTTACAGACTTGAAATTTGGACAAGGGGTGTAATTTCTGATGCTAAATTGAATTTGTTATCATCTGACCTTCTTTTGATATTTTTTACTTTGTTTGGCCTTTTGTCATTTTATGCTACCATATAGGATGTATAAGAAGTTTGTTGTCCCAAACTGTAAACACCTTACATATTTTGCATGTGACATTTTGTGTATTCATTCACAAAAGTTATAAAGAAAAAATGTTCCATCAAAATTAACCCTGCTGTAGTGGTCATTTATTCTGCATTTATTCTACATAGTCTCATGGGAACACACTTGCAACATAGATATTTTTAACAAATCCTTTCCAAAATATTAGGGCAAAATATTTCAATAACTAGAAAGGCAAGTAAAAGTTCAGCTGGACTGGCCTTTCAGCAAGTTCATTTGAAAAATAACACTGAAAAACAGTTGTTTCTGGTGAGCGACTCAGGGCCATCATGGCCCTCTTGTATAAAATTCTCGTTCATTTTCTCCCAATGCTTTTTTATTGGACGTAGATTTTTTTTTCAATTACATATAGAATTTTATTTACTTATTCTTTGAACAAACTTGTTTCACTTCTGTGAAATACACTCTTCTACACGACATGGTTACACTTGTTCATTGAGTGATGTTATGCAACAAAACAGATCGGTCTACCTCACGAGAGGTAAACAAAACGAATACAACTTTGCGAATTGTGAGTTACTTACCGTAAGTTTCCCCCAGCGTCACTTGAGGTGACTTTTCATGAGTTTGAGTATCGATTATGAATGACCATGTCCACAATATGAGGTGTAGAACCCGCACTCGCATCGCCAATAAAAGGAGAGCCTACCCCTCCCGCATGTAACACGCGTTAGCAGCTACGCTTCTCCAACCACTACCTGTCGCATTCATTTAAATGGGAACCTTGAGCCGCCGATGACTGCCGATCAGGTGTTAATGTTAAGTCACGTGTTTTATCAGTATTTATAACTGAAAAATATACAACAGGAAGTTAAGAGCATTTGTTGATTTTTCGACAGTTAACAGTTTAATGACAATAATTCGGCTATTTTTATTTTAAGTGAATTCAAAAAAATAGTCTTTAATTTTAATTAACTTATTTTAGTTATCGTCATGACTTTACCGCTGTCTGATATTTTGTGATTTTAATGTTAATATATTTCAGTCGTCAACTGTAAATACTTTATTTAAAGAAAAAACCATTATGATATAATTATAATATACACAGGTAAATATGCACCACATGTTTCTGTATGTTTAGTACCCCATATGTTTTCCATTTGTAAAACATATGTGTTTCATGTGTTTTGAAAAACATGTGTTTAAGAACATGTGTTTTTCATATGTAAGATTAACATATTTTATTATGTAAACAGGACCATATGAAAAACATGTGTCAACAAACATATGTTAAACTCATGATTATCACATGTTTTTCATATGCATAAGTTTTCATATGTTAAATATATGTGAACTTTCATGTGTTTTTCATATGATAAATCTATGTATCATATATTCTGCAAGCTTTACACTTTGAACAGTCTTAATTAGATTCTACATGATTGTACATAAAATTCTTAAAAGATTCTTGGTTCATGCTTGTAAATGTAGTAAATCTATGGGGAAAAAAGTTGCCTTCACTTCCAATACTTCTTATCATGTTGAAAAGTAAACAAAACAATAAAATACCTTTATAAAAAAGATGAAAATAAATAAATGATAAATATTTGTTTGGAGGGATAGCTGATTATATTTTATATTAAGGGAAGAACTGTCAGGGGAAGAAATAGTCTTGGTTAGGGGGAGAATAGTCTGCCATTCATTTTTATTCATTATTTTTTTCTCCCTTTGTATATGTTAGTGTTTATTAAGTGAAATTTTAACAATCAAGAACCCAAAACAAAGTGACCGGGAGTATTCT